CTATCGTGTTATTCCATAGTTTCTTTTGGTCTAATTTTGCCAACTTCTGTCAATATTTTCTCTCTAATTGTCTTAGGGTGTCTCGTAGATTAAAAAAGTGTAAAAATTTAAAATTTTGGTATTATCTTTTTTGAATTTATTTTAAGCTCATAAAATTATTCCTTTATATACTCAATTTATTACTTTTTTTTTAAGATTCTCTTTTAGCTTTTATTGCAACGTCTCTAGTAGCAAAGTCTTTTGAATTAATTTTATTCTATAACCAGTTGCTTTGGTAACCTAAAAACTTGATATTGTACCAGCATCTTTATATTTTAACGCTTAAAAGACAATTCTGAAAATTTTGCTCTCTAGAAAATAATAATTATTTTTTTTAAGCGTTTTTTAAAGAAGTATATTTTTCGGTATAATACAAAACTTAAAATAGATTTTAAAAACTAAAAAAGCAATTAACTTTAAATTTTCATGGTCCGCTTCTTCAGAATGACGGGTGGCTTAAAAATCGCAAATTTCTTAAGCGCGAACTGGCATATGTGCGAGTTGGCATAAATGCACCAAACAAATTTGCAAACATTGACATAAATGCGAACTAGCATAAGTACGAAGCAGTGGCACAAATGCGAGGTGGTATAAGTGCAAATTGGCATAAGTGCGTCGAATCAAATTGCAAATATTAACATAAGTGCAAATTGGCATTTTGCACTTATGCAAGTTCGGCATGCAACTTTGTTCGGTGCACTTATGCCAATTTGCACATAGGGTAAAATATCCAGTGTTCGCCATTCAACCTAGTCTTCGCCGCTTGGTAACTAAAAAACATACAGAGCTAAAACTAATTGCTAGAAAATGTCGAAATTGTATCTAAAAAAAACACTGATCATCTCTTTAAAACTGACGAAAATGTCACATGACGAAATGTCTTCATAACTGACGAAAATTTTTCAAGTTTTCGTCAGTTATAAAGAGATGATCAGAGTTTTTTTGATCGTAGCTTTAAAAATAAAGGTACAGGATTTATTGCAAAAATTTTTTGCAGTAAAATTTTGCAGGATTTATTGCAAAAAAAACTTTGCTCAAAAATCCCTAATGCTTAATGACAAACTTTAGGTGAGCTTAAGGATAATCACTCAAAAAACATATTATTTATAGTTTTTTTGAATTTTTTTTCTTTCTCAGACTGTTATTAGTATGCAAAAATATATTATAGATAAAGAATTAGTGGATGAATTTAAAAAGGTTGGCGTGGGGTGGTGGGGAACACTGGAAGCAAAATAACTTCCTAGCTAGTAAGCAGTTAAATATTTTTCAGTCTTCGCAAAACTCACTTTCTAGTAGTCGCTACTTTTGATAACTTATAATTTTAACTATTTATAAACCTTTTTGTCTTTTTCAGAACATATATAAATAATTATATTTTAATTTAAATACTTTTTCCAGTTATATCATTAAATATGACGTAAGTTTTCAGCTTATACATTATAAGTTTTCAGCTTAAACATATACTTACTTAAACATAAAGCATGGTTAAAGGTTGCAAGTCATAAAACAAAGTGCAACTCCAACGTTACAAAAGAAACGCTCTCTAGTCTTTTTCTTCCGATCTATTCAAAATCAATGACTAAGGTAAAGATTAAGAGTACTTTTAAGAAATGTGGATTTCAGTGATTTAATCCAGATGCTATTGATTACACTAAGTTAACCTTATAAGAGGAACATGCTGAGGGTGAGCACTTTTTTGAGGGTGTCGATCAAGCTATATCAAAGTTTTAACCCAAGTAGAACCAATAGTATATTTGAATTTAAGTACTCAGACTAAGTCAAACGAGAAACATTTTCAAATAGGTTTCACTGAAATACAGGCAGCTGGGTCATACATAAATCTGCAAGTGATAAATAATTTTCGTAAACACAATATAGGATTGGGACAAATTATATACTCAGTTAAGTTTTAAACAACCTTCTACAATTTTATGTTCTTTAATTAATTGGTGTAAAATTTTGTAACATCTAAAGCCTCTGCTAAAACTATTATTTAAAATGTTTATACAGAATTTTAAAAAGTGACTTTGAATTGGATTGTCCCAGATTTGACGTGTTTAAAACAAGCAAACGAAAAAACTGGTTTGGTTTTGTGTTTGAACAAAACAGGCGATTGAAAACACAAACCAGTACATCTAAAAATTCAAATTCTCTCAAGAACTAACCCTCTAATAGTGGAATTAGTTACCATTTTTCTTCTTCTTCTGATAATTTAAAAACAAATTTAATATTTGTTTTTAAATTATCAGATATTTTTTTTGCCCTTGGTAGCTTTTAAACAAAAGAGGTCCAGTATTAGTCCTGTCATGATCAACCATAGGTAGTTTCCTTCGCCCATAAAAGCTCTAGCTTAGTCATGGGCATTTTTAATTTTATATTATTCTTATTATTATTATTATTATTATTATATTTTCTTTGCCGTATAATTAAATTTACAATGAGAAAAAACCATTCATGTATAAAAATTGGCCGGAGCAAGAAGAAGACATAAACTGTCTTATCGCCAAGCCCCGTTTACATTAACGTCACAAAGTTACAAGGTAAAAACTAAAAGGTTAAAAATTGAAGTACAATACAATATTAGTTCTACAAATATAAGACACAAGTAATAAATCGAATAAATGTTATTTGTCTGTTCAAAATTAATAGTATATATATATTTTATTTTAATAAAAAATAAACAAGATACACAAGACAATAGTAAATGAGTAGTGATGACTTTTTCAGGTTTAATTATTTTAGGTGATTTTAGAAGAAATCTTTAATATTGATCTTATGTTATTTTGAACTTAGTGATATGTATGGTCATAAAAATATATTTTCTTTATCGTACCATTATAAACTGTTCTTAGCTAACATTCGCACTGTTGTGACGTTAGATCAAGTTGTATCTATTCTGGCGGAGTTAAAAGAGAAAAAGAAAGACTAAAAGCGAGCAAAAGTTGAAAGAATGAACACACGCTTAGCAACTGAGTTGGCGAAGAATTCAAAACCCCCAGAAAAAAAAAAAAGTTGTTTATACATAAGCATTATAATAAGCAAAAGAAGAAAGTCTAAAACATTTTATTCAGGTAAGAACAATTTCAAAGTGACTACTCTATGGTCCAGCTGCTGTTTTATTAAATTAATAAAAAATAAATAAAAACATCACATTTTATTTGTTAATGTCATTTCTCTCTCTTTTTTTTTTAATTCTACGCAATGTAACAGTGAAAAAAAAAATGTATATATAACTTTGGTTCTTTAACAATGGTTTAGACTTGAAAATAAATTTTTATCGAAAAGAAGACATATTTAAAAAATATATATATTAATTTTAGTGAACACTAGCAAAAGTAAAAATTCCCAGAATATATTTTTCTTGCTAGTGGTCGCCATTTGGCCCTTTCGGGTGCTATAGCTCCCGTATTTATTATCGGAGGTCATTTATTCTATAAGCATCGTGACCAACTGTCGATCAATAGGCTAATACTAAAAGATTTATAATTTATGAAAAAATGAGAAATGAATATTTATATCGGACTAAGTTGAAAAAAGTGGCAAACACAGGGTGGTTTACCCTATGCCAGTTCGCACTTATGCACGTTTTTACAACGCTTCACACTTATGCCAGTTCACACTTATGAATTTCGCGCTTATTTAGTCGTCCCCGAAATTATCTGAGAGACTGTAGCAGAATTACATAAAACTCGTTTTTAAGCTTTAAATGATTTCCTTTAAAAAAAAGTTTTTTTAATGCTTTATTTGCTTTTATTAGCTTTTTTGGTAGAAATACTTTTATAAAAAGATTCTGCAAGTATCTTTGTGTTGACAACATAAATATACTTTGAAACTTTTAAGTTCATTGGATGCATATTTTAGGTATGAGAACGTTTCAAAATTGTATGTACATTTTATATTTTTGCTAACTTAATAAAAAACTTAATTTTTGAAAATATTTGAAACGTTTTTGAGGCTAAAAATGATTTCATTTAAAACGAATTTTATTTAACCTTCAACGTCATTATAATGAATTACTGCAGAAAGTATACAAACTTCCTCTGTTCTTCAAATATAAGAACATTTGAATTTTTATTTTATTTTAGCAAAACTAGTCCATATAATTGGCTTGGTGTCTGCGTATGTTTGCTAAAAAAAAGTTTACCATTTACACAATTTTTTAGAAAATCATCGCGAAATAAAACTTTAAAAAGGTCTTATTATGATTAAAGACAGATAAGTTTATTTTGTTAGTGTGTGCACCTTTTAGTATGTCTTGTTGCCACTTGCACTAGGAATATTCATCCTTAGAATGACGAGTGCTTTTATAACTAAAAGATGTATTATATATATGACGACTTAATAGTACCATTTAAATATTTTTTCAGACTTTTAATTACCTAGTTTAACCTTATACCTAGTTTACACTACTAAACTTATAAAAATCTTTAAGCAAGAGCTTGATTTGATTTGATAAATCTTGTTTTGATTGAGAAAGTGAACTAAAAGTTATTGAAAAAGCGGCGAATTAAAGATCTTCTCGGATAGAAAAACTGCTAGAATTTAGACTAATCTCAACTTTACAGTTACAACCTTTGGCTAATAAATTTGTTTAATGATTTCAATAAACAATCATTTTTGAAACTAGATGATAAAGAAAGTCACTTAGCTGCAAGTTCACTAAAAATTCCAAATATCATGCAATTCTGAGATATATGGTGAAGCAAAATGACCTGGTTATTTTATTGTAAAATGTTGGTTATAGTTTTTTGTAGTATAAATTGTTGTTTTCTTTTAATTATAATTTTTTTATATCACTGATAGTATAATAGGAAAAAGATTAACAGTTTTAATTCACCTTTTATTCTAGACAACCCTAGATTCCATATTACAATAGAGTCTAGGATTCTTAACACCATTAAAAAAGGAACCAATTAACAAGCAATAAAACTTTTTTGTAATTAAAAATAAAAGAGAAAAAATAACTCAATGCAATATTATTTCTTGTTTTAATTAAACGACTAAATTAAAATAATTTGGTCCCAGTTTCTTGGCTGTAAAACATCTTAACTGTTTCTTTTGAACATATTAAAAACTAGTTCAAAAAGATTTTTTGTGATATTTCACAAGTGTTTACGCTTCAGCAGAAGCATGCTGCTAACGATAAGTTACATACTATCCCGTCGTTCTCTTCTCGGCCGTAATAAAATTGCGATGTCTAAGAAATCCCCAATTCGAAACTTTTTTGAGTGCAGAGTGGCATTATCATCTGGGCAACTTTGGCCTGAGCAAGTAGTACCAATATCTTTTAAGTTGTATCCCCCACGCGAAAAGTTCGGATAGACAATAGCAAAATCAAAATATGTTCCGTCACGCCGAGCTTCCGGGTTGACCTCTTTAACAAGATTCATAAGCTCCTTTAGTGTGGCGTCTTTCCTAAAAACATTAAAGTAGTACTCACAAATACCCTTCTAACTAAATTTAATTCTCATGATATTTTCAACATTCTAGATATATAAAAAAAATTTATTTCACTAACTCATGCAATGTTTGTTAAAAAATTCGTTTATTTGAAATGTTTTTTGTTTTTCCCTTGGAAGGAAAAGAAATGAGAGTTTATTTACTCATAAGATTTTACAATTTACAATCAGTTCTCGTAATATATTTGTCATATTAAATTGTTATATTGTAATATATTTATCATATTAAAACTCTAAGTCAGTTGGAGTTGACATTGTATTCCAAATTATTTTTATACCCCAGTTCTTTAAAAAAGTTATGGCTACTAGAAATACGGCGCCTAAAAAATGGATTTTCGTAACTTTCGGTTATTCGAAACTCTTTTTCCCTATGGAGGCTCGAATGACCGAAAATCTACTGTAATAGTTATGTGCCTTGCAATTTCAAAATAAATTGAACTCTGTCTTAATTTTATGTCGTTTGAGATGTAAAACCTTTTTCTCATAAATACTCTGTAAATTTTGATTTTTAGTTTAAACATATATTGGTTAAAAGATAATTTTCATCAGCTTTCCAATGATATTCTTTCTTTCTTTGAGTTGACCATAACAGTATGTAAGTATCAAAAAAGTGAAATGAAAAAGATTTATGCTAAGCAAATTCAATATATTAGTAACAAAGAAAAAGTGAACAAAATATTGTCAAGAAATTTTTTTTTTAAAAAAGTATGCAACTGTTAACAACAGATAAATTGATATTGCTTTTTAATTTTAAAAAGTTGTGGTTTTTAAAAATGTCAAAAAAGAAGGAATTTAAACAATTACTGTGTTATTAAAAACTGTTAATACCTGAATATATATTAATAACAGGGACAGAAAGTTCTTTAGCTTTTATGAAGGCATCTTACATAAAAGAAAAAGAAAATTGATATAAAACCTTATTTATTTATTAGTGGGAAAGATTGTAAACTTTGAACAGGTCAAAATTTTAAACAGCTCCTAGAAGTAGTTGTTCATTAAAAATTTCTGTAAAACATGAAGACCATGAAGCATTTTTCGTGGTGTTAAAATAATGCCATTATAAGAAAACATTTTATTATTAAATTCACCTCAAGGTTATAGACTACAGTCATGGTAGCTACTTTTTTTTTTAAACATATTTTCAGGCTATCCCTCAACCAAAAACTCCGAAACGCAAACAATGGTTCAGTTAAGCACTAATAAAAAGGTAATGAGAGATCTAGAGAACATTTTTGTAAAACAATGACAATAATGCTGTCACATGACACAAGATAAAATAAAAAATTAAGATTAGAAATAGCATGATGCACAAGTAAGTGAAAACCATTGGGTACAGCGAGGCTTGACATGGAATAAAAGCTTTCATGCCTACATGAATCCAAAGATTATGTAGGAGACTCAATTATCAGCAGAGACTAAGACAGAAACTAAAGACAAGTGAAAAACCATGAATAAAATCCCAGTCAGCTTTGAGATAGAAGTAGGCAGTACTATGATAGGGCAAGTCTGAAGACAAAACACAAATCAAAGAATGAAGATGATTAGAGTTGTCTGAAAAACAAGTCACAAAGTTAATTATATGAGTAATAGATTAAGAAAAACAGAAGTTTTCAGCTTTAGTGTCAGCAGGGTCAGTAGTGTTTAAGCCACCTCACTCAAAATGATGAGGATTAAAGTTACTATTTAAAGAGAAAGGGCTTGGTTAATTTGATCAGAAAAAACATCAAAGAGTGCAGTTTTGAGGAGAAGAAGAACAATAAAGAATATAGAGGAAGATGATTGAGTGAAGAAGCGCATATCTAAAGCACATATCGTCAGCAGGGTCAGTGAATATTCGTAAAAGTCTTATATATAATTTGCCATAATATTTGTAAGATGCCAAGAATATTCGTAAAAGATAGATTGAAACAATTAGGCGGTAGATATTGATTGAAACAATTAGGTGGTAGGTTTTATGTTTAATATCTTTACAGTACTTTAGTTATGTTTTAAGTTATTAGAGATCTTGAATCATTCATAGATAGTACACCTTTGCTAAAACTACAAAGCTTTCTTTATCAAGTTGACTGAATTATTTGTCAAGTTGACTATTGGAACACATAAATTAGACAAACTACAAACTAATTAGACAAGCTATTTTTTCTCTACAAACTAATTAGACAAGCTATTTTTCTTTACTAACTTATTGGCATGCTATTTTACTCTACAAATTAATTAGAAAATCTTTTTTTCTCTAAAAACTAATTATATAAACTATTTTTCTCTACAAACTAATTAGCTTTTGCATTTTTTGCACAAAAAATAAACTTTTTTAAAGTTGTCCTCAGTTTTTTATACCTAATATTTTTTTCAAAAGTTATGATTACCTTTTTTAATGAAAAAAATTTAAAAGTATAAAATTTTGTCATTAAAAAATATATAAAGTATACTAAAAGTGGAATTATAAAGTATATCAAAAGTGGAATTACTATATTTATTATTTTATATTATATATTGAATATTTTATAAACATTATACTATATAAAGGATATTATAAACTTAGAACTCAAATTAAACAAAACTTACCAAGTATAAATTTGTAACTCATTTGATGGAGTTTTTCCGCTAGCAAAGTCTTCTATCCTGAAAAAGAAAAGTGTGAGATTAGCAACAAACTCAGATCAAACTTTTTATTTCAAATATTTTTATTTTGAACATTAATACTTATTTTAATAATAATTTACTTGTGATGTCCACCAATATTGCAAAAAACTCTTAACAGAAGTGGGCATGTCTAAAAACATTAATAAAAAAATTGAAAGAATAATCAAACATACTAAAATAATTTAAATAAATAAAAATAATCAAAGATTTTAATTTAATTTTATTATTGAACTTAAAAACTTATATTATTGAAATTGCCAAAGAGAAAAAAAAGAGAAAAAGTTTGAAAGACAGTTCAATAATCCTTATTGATCTATCTTTCAAACTGCTTTTTATTATGGGGGGTAATGAATTGCATCAAATAAGAAATTCTAGCTCTCTTAGGCACCACTTAATTGTTGCACAAAAAATACTTTGAAAAATTATATATAAGACTGTTTTAAAACCTGGCTCTAGTTCACTAATAATATTGGCAAGAGAAAACAAATCTAACAACTAACCAATGGGATTACCCCTTTCAATAGAATACAAGATACAATTGAATAAAGTTCACTCAAGAGTAAAGAATAAAGTTCACTTTTTAATAAAAAAAACAAACAAACACAAAGTGAAGTGTATATAAATGAGTCAGAGAGAAAAAAATAACTGAAGTGTAACTTGCAAGAACTGTTATCTTAAATTTACAAGTGTCTCATTTAATCAAGATTTAACTACAAAAGTCTTTTGAAATGATTTGTATTAATAAGAAGTGTAATTGTCAACTTGTTATTATAGTGTGAAAATATTAATATTCGATGACATTTTTTTTCATGAAAAAGAAAAAAAAAGAATGAACATTTATATTAATAGAACTTTTTAGCTATTTTATTAAAACTTTTATTTTTAAATAACTTTAATAACTTTTCAACACAACTCTTATCAATGGTCCTCTTTTTCATTTTCAAAACTGAATGTCACTAACTTGTCAGTCATGTCGTCTTGTCTATTTTATTGTTTAATTTAAGATAAATTATACATAATAAAAAGCCTATACTATATACAAAAACAAATTTGAAAAGTTTCTATTAAGAATATTGATTTTTATTATAAACATTGTGTTGAATATTAAAAACAAATCAAATAAAGTTTAATTGACGTTTTTACAAAATTAAAAATACTCAGAAATTTTTAATTTTCTTATAGTAATTTTCTATTCATGTTTCTATTGTGTTTGAATTTTTTATTTGCATTTCATTCGAGCATGTTTCTAATCAAAGAAAATAAAAGCGTAAAAATTAATATATTTTTTTAATTTAGAAGCGTCTTAAACTCATTTCAAACCTAATTAATTTAAAAGCTTTTCAATTAATAGTTAAATAGAATTTCTACTTGTGCCAAAAATATATTTGTAAATATAATTTATGTTTATGAATAAATGTCAAAAGAACTTTACACAAATTAATAAGAAACAAAAAAATTTAAAAACATTTGTGAAAAAAAATTTTCTTAAACAAAAACACTTTTTTTTCTTAAACAAAAACACTTTTTTTCATAAACAAAAACATCTTATTTGTAAAAATAATCTTTTGTTTGTTTATCACTATTTATTTTTTTTATTTTTTTATGTATTTATGTAATGCAATACTTTATTTAAAGATTACAAACAACTTATAAATAGATTTTATCAGTAACCAATAAAATACCATTCGTAAACATAATTTATGTTCTTAAATAAATTTTATCAAAAGAAATTTACACGATATTGAATAAATAAAAAATAATTTTTATTGAATTTTAATTTTAGCTACCATTTTTGGATAGCACTAGATGTTTAAAAGCTTAGCGAAAAATTGCAGAAAAATTAATTTGAGTTAGCAATTTTTTAAGCTGCTTGCAGCTTCTTGCTTCTTGCAGGAGAAACCAAAAGTAATTTTTGTTGATAAAAATTTTAATTGGAATTAAAAAATCTAAAGTTAATCTATGCTAAAAAAAAGAGCAATTTTTTTCTAAGTTTTAAATTTTAAAAACAAAGTTTTACAAAACATCAATATTCTTAAAAATTTAATTATTAAGTTATCATTTTTATCTTTTTTTTCTAGCAATAATTAAAAATTATTAATTTGAAATAATTTTCAAAACTATGATAAAACTTTGTATGAAATTTGTTAACATTAAAATGGGAATTTCAATTTTATTAGCATGTATAACAGGACCCCACAGGGCTGGCTAACACCCTGTTTTGGGTGTATAGTCTGGCTAACACCCTGTATACAGAAAGGTATGCTTTATCTGTTATTAAAACATAAAATTTTCTGTACTAATTGCTTTGACGGAAAACTCATTTTTTATGGTGTTTGAAAGTAGAATTGTTAAATTTGGAAAGTGATAAACATCTACAATGGATTGGAAATAAAGTTCTGTTCAATAATCATGGTTTAAACAAAAAAATTTAATGAGAAATAAGTTTAGAGAAATAATAAAAATTAATGAAAAAATAAATTTTTTTAATTTTTAATATGACTAATAATGGCTAAATTAAAAACCACATTGTAAATTTTAAATACTATCTATTTCATAATTGAAAAAAACAAAAACCAGTAATTTCAAAAAATTGTTAATTTACAGAAGAAAGAAATAATGTAGATAAGGTATTTTTATCATATTCAATATTTATAGTTTCATTATAGCAAAGTTTATCTCTGCAGAAATAAGAAGAACTGTGTTTTATGCAAATATATTTATCAATAAATTCTAATAGATAGATAGATAGATAGATTTTTCATAATTAAAAACAACAAACCATTCAGTAATTTTAAAAAATAATGTTGATTTAATATTTTCCTCATATACAAGATTTATAGTTCCACTTATAGCAAAGCTTTTCTCTACATAAATAAGAACAACTGTATTACTCTCTCTAAAAGAACTGTTTGAAAAATTGTATTTGAAATACAGGTTATAAAATTTAATTATCATCAATGAGGCTATAATTATTTGACACAAAAATGTTTTTGAAATCTAAAACTCAAGATTACAAAGATAATGTAACAGTTTTTATTGATCTGGTCAAATTAGAAGAAACAACATCAAAAATAAATTTTTAATACTTTAATATCAATTTTCAAAAAACATGGTTTTAAAAAGTATTTGAATGAAAATCTACTTGGATTTTGCTGAGACAGTGCTAGTGTAATGTTAGGAAAAAAAAGTTTCTGCAGAACTTTAAGAGAAAATTCCAGGTATTACCATTGTTTAGCTCAGCATATTCAGTTAACTGTAGATGATGTTATCAAAAAAATAAATGAAATTATAGATATTTCTTTGATAAACTTTATTGGTATTACCATAGTTGAAAGAAACACTGAGAACTAAATCTTTCTATAAAACTTGGCACTGAAGTACCCAAAATAGGAAAAATATTTGAATTTAGAAGTACACAAAATAGGACAAATATTTGGTCCTCAATAAGCAGCCTGTAGCACTAGGACTGCTAAAGCAGTTTGGCAATCATATCAGGCTTTGTATATTCACTTTAGTTAAAATAAAGAATCTAGACTAATGCCATATTTTAAAAATAAAAACATTTTGAAAGATTTAAGTATAATAAAAATGTATTAAAAAAAACTTCTGTACTTTCTACAGCTTTAAATATTTATTTAAACATTTTTTTCTACACAAAAGAAATATTTAAATAACTACAGCTGTATTCTTTCTATAGCTGTATTTTTGTATTTATTTCTAATTTCTATAATTTCTATAGCTTTAAATATTTATTTAAATATTTCTTTCTACAAAAGAAAGAAATATTTAAATAACTAGAACTAATAGATTGATAAAGCGAAAAATAAATTTATTTTAACATTTATAACTAAATTTAGTAACATAGAAAAAAAAAGCAGATAAAAAATTGACAAACAGCTATAAAACCTTTTATTGCTTATAGAACATATTTTATATTTTCTTATAGTAAAAGTATGCAGGCATTTAAGGAACCATTACAACAATAAAAAATTCCACAATAAAAGAGAATAATAAATTAAAGCAAAAAAAATAAAAGTTAAATATAAAAGTTATTATGCAATAATTTTTAATCAGTTAAATAAATTTATATTTGACCAATATAATTTAGAGTGTAATAATTATATATTTATTAAATAGTCCATTCTAATCAAAACCATTTGCATTTAAATCAGTGCTCCTTTTTTTATTTCTTTATCATTTTTTTGCAACAACTGTGTCTTTTAAAAAGCATTGCAGTTTATTATGCATGTAATTTTTTTTTAATGACAAATGACAGTATTTTTTATTTTAGTTACAATGATAATTATACTTGTTAAACAAGACCTGCTTTAACAGTATATGCTAAGACCTGTTTAACAGTATCTATAATAAAGGCAAATCTATTATTCCATCTTTCTTTTACGGTTCTATAGATCTTCCTATATTTATGAACGGTAATGTACTTAATGACTCTCTACTCTTCAACTTCTAGGATTAACTTTTACTTCCGATCTTTCTTGGAAACCATATATCAAATCCATTGCAAAATTAGCATCTACTTAGGTTGCATCTCTTTATGGTCCTTGCCACTTTTTTACTCTGGATTCTATTCTTTATCTCTATAAATCTCAAATTTATCCTTGAATGGAATACTGTTGCCATATCTGAGGCAGATCTAACAATGATGCTTTCTTTTTTATAAAAGGTACAAAAATACATTGTTAACATAGTTGGGCCTGCTCTTGCAGCGAATCTCCAACCATTATAACATCTTTGTAATGCTGGTTCTCTTTCTCTTTTCTATAAATACTAAACTGCTCTAAAGAGCTAGGGTATCTCGTGCCACCTACTAAAATTCTTTTTTTTTTTGTCATTATTATTTATTAATTTTTACCTAGAAGTTAAATAAAACGTTATTTTATGTGTGTGTGTGTGTATATATATATATGTGTGTGTGTGTATATATATATATATATATATATATATATATATATATATATATGTGTGTATATATATATATATATATATATATATATATATATATGTGTGTATATATATATATATATATATATGTGTATATATATATATATGTGTATATATATATATATATATATATATATATATATATATATATATATCTTATACTGCTGAGTTAGGTGAGGGTGATGATGTCATACTCACCTAACGTCAAATAGCCTGCTGCCGGGGGCTTCAGTACATACATCGACTGACAAATAGCCTGACTCGCAGTGGAGTGCTGCTACATCGACTGAGGGTTTGGGTCAGCAACCTTTTCATTTTTTATTCTTTGTTTTCCCTCATCGTTTTCTAAAAATGCTCACTTAATTTAGGCTAGCAAAAAAAGTGAGCAATTGCGCATATAAATATACAATAGTAGATAAATATATATATATATATATATATATATATATATATATATATATATATATATATATATATATATATATATATATATATATATATATATATATATATATATTAGGGATGCGCTGAACATTTGGCAAAACTTTGGCAAATATACAAAAAATGCGAAATTTGGAAAATATATCATGTTTTCTTAGATTAGACTTCAAACTTAACTCATTTATGCAGTATCTGGTAGCTACGATAAAATAAGTTAAATTTTAATATAAAATTTAATTATTTATTTTATTATATTGTTATTAATGTATTTAATTCAAACATCATGTACATATAAATAAGTACAAGATCCAAAGATAAAATTTAATAGATTAAATAAAAAAGTACAAATCAGTCTACAACAAACCATCATTCAGACAGTCTTAATGTTCTATTAACCGAAACAACAGTGAAATTTCTTTACAAAACTAGCTGCTTTCATGTATTAATGACTCTTCTGTCATTTTTTGGTAGTTCCAAAGAAAGCTGAAGGTTTCTGAAGAGATCTGTTTTACGGCGCTAAAAAGAACTGTAAGTCCTACAAAAACATTATCCAATATTACATAAAAAATTTGCTTTTGCAATTTTTCAAGGGAGATTCGCCTACCTCACTCATTTTACTCATATTTTTATTGTAAAACTGTTTTCTGCTATCGTTCTTAAGCAATTTTATTTCTATATCAAGGCTAGATGCAACATGCTTAGGTTTATTCACCATTGCTTTCCAACTGTCACAAATAGCTACTAATTATAAAAGTATGCTTTCTATATTTGAAACCTCCATCTTTAAAGTTGCATTAATGGCTTGAATAACTTTGTTGCAAATGTCTATTCAGAATATAAAGTTTTTGGAATTTATATTCTGCGCCACACGAATCCCATTTTTAGTTCTTGGAGTAAGATTTAGTTGGAACAAGTCTAAAAAAGCCAGCTTTACTCCTAGAAGATGAGCTTCAAATGGTTTTCTCTCAACTTGAACTCTCAATTCGATCTGACCACCTGGGGCCAGATATACCATAAAGAAAACAACCAATATGCTTATATATTTCCCACCTCTTCAGACTACACTGAGTAAGGTGTTTATCGTTTATATAGTTCCAAAGTAGGTTATGGCTTCTAGAATTTATTTAACAGCATCATTACCACATAAGTTAAATGTGTGGCAGGCACAAGGAAAAAATTTAGCAGTAGGACATAAATCTTTTATTATAGCTTGCGCTCCATTATATTTGCCTGACATATTTGGCACATTGTTATAACTTTGAGCCCTACAACAAGCCAGTGGAATAATATTACTTTGTAACGTTTTTGTAATCATTTGAGCAATTTCAGAACCATTTTTGTTACTACAATTTATAAATTTCAAAAATCATTCCACAATTATTTGCGATTCAAAACAAATTTGGTAACGTAAAATAAGTGTTGTTTGCTCAACATGTGATGAATCTGTTGTATATTCTACAATTATCGTGTAGTACTTTGCAGAATGTCTTTTATCCAATACATGCTGCTTAACAAGATCAGAACATTCTGCTATAAACTCATTTTAGTAAATGCATTTTCAGGCCTTGTTTTTAAGTGTTACATGTAGAGCGATTTATGCAAGCGGTAGGCAAATTTGGAGGAACTTTTTATGATTTTTTAAATTTTAAATTGTTCTATAAGCGGTAAGATAAAAAAAGTAATTAATTTTTAAAAAAATCATATTAACCTTTGTATGAAGTTTATGTAAAAATATTTGCTACAAAAGTTGAAATGACAATTATGTTAGATATAAGCGCTATTTACTAACGAAAAAAACTCAAATAAATTAAAAGTTAATTTTTTTTTTTTTTTTATTATTTGTAATGGTTGATTTTTTTGCTTGAAAAACGCTAATACTTTAAGCTTGAAGCAAAGATCATGATAATATAATTTAATAAGAAGTTTAAATTTTTTTTTTCCCCTAAGAATTCAGATTTAGCAGGGGTCAGGGTAATAACATATATTTTTTACTGTGTCTAATAAAATCTATCCAACAACATATGTAAACATAATGAAGTATAGTAACATTTATCCTACAATATCTGAAAACAATAAATGAAATATAAGAACATCTATCTAACAAAAACTGAATTTTTTATTGGCGTCTAGATAGAATCTGTGCAAAAAAAAAAAATGAATATTACAGATGTAGTTACATCTTTTCAATTATCTAAGTACAACAACATCTGTACAGCTATATCTGGAGATTTTACAGTTGTAGTAACATCTTTTCAATTATCTAAGAATAACTGCATCTGTGCAACTACATTTAAAGAATCTACAGATATATATATATATATATATATATATATATATATATATATATATATATATATATATATATATATATATATATATACTGCTCATCTAACTCAGCAGTATAAGATGTGTATATATATATATAAATATATATATATATATATAAATATATATATATATATATATATATATATATATATATATATATATATATACTGCTCATCTAACTCAGCAGTATAAGATATGTATATGTATATATATATATATATATATATATATATATATATATATATATATATATATATATATATATATATATATATATATATATATTTGTATGCCAAACATCTAGGATCTATGCACATACTTATCTAAAACATTTGATCAGGTGTAATTACATTTGTAAAAAAAAGCTAATTTATTTATTGATTTGAAAACAACAGAAGGACCTAAAGGCCACGAATACTAGAGTATACATTAAAAGATTTTCTACTGAAATGTTAAAATTGTATCAAAAGATTGAATAAGTTTGAATAAAATTGAATCAAGTAGAAAAAAGCAATACAACAAAAAAAGAAACACGTGGTGCTGTTTAAACTACAATGGAATTTGTACAATTTTAAAGTTATGACCACGATTACCCAAGTAATTGAGAATAAGAACATTTGATAGGTCAATTTTGTAGCATAAAACTAAATCCTTAAACATTCAACAATATTCTAAGATATTGACCTTTAGTATGAATATACGTTTTTTGTATGAAATTGACCACAGACCATTTTTTAAGTAAAAAAACCCTGTACTTTCTTAATTTTATTAATCAGGCATATAGTGTAAGGTGACCATACTGAAGAGCAATATTCAAGCATAGGTTGTACATAAGTACAGTAGGCTTTAACCATCAGCAATCTATCTGTGAATAAAAAGCTTTTAGAATAAGTTAGGCTCTTTAAATAGTTTTATGTATAAGATTGATACGTTGATTAAATTTAAGATTCCTATCAATGGTAACTCCAAGATCTCTTATACAGTTAACATGAGCAAGTTCATGGTTATTTATGGTATAAACACAATGGGTTATGTTTTGACTCTGGTTTGCAATTGTATAGACAAAACATTTTTCAGTTGCTATTTGGAGTTGCCAATAAAAACTCCATTTGTACAAACAATTAACAGCTGTGTGAAGATCTGAGTGTGGGCCATTATATTTATATATACATCAAAGAGTGAATATAACTTAATATCATCAGCAAAAAGATTAAGCTTGACACCAATCTCTTTACTAGTGTGGCTTATATCATTGATAAACAATAAGAATAGAGTAGATCCTAGAACGCTCACCTGTGGAACACCGCTTGTTGCAGATATAGTGTGAGAAGCAACATTGTTTACATTTACCACCTGTAATCTCACGTGTAGAAAATTAGTTAGCCAATTCAGAAAGTTGCTAACTATTGCATAAGCGGGTAATTTCATAGTAACTTGGGATGTGAAACTGAATCGAAAGTTTTTTTTAAATTAAAATAATTAATTTCTGTAGGAATGCAGTGCTGAAAAGTCCTGAAAACTTTAAAGAATTTTTTTTTTTTTTCAACATCTTTGCCTCCAATAAGGCTGCAATCAACTGTTATTAGAGTTGGAAGTTACTGTCAGAGAAATGATGAAGTTTATAGAGCAAGATAACGATTGATATGGTTTCCAAGAAAGATCAGAGGTAAGTGTTAATCCTAGAAGATTAGATGACTCGTCAAGTACATCATCTTTCATAAATATAGGAGGATCTAAACGATTGGCTGAAAAAATTGGGATTTATATGAATTCAAGTATATTAGTACAGTACTACGTTTATGAATAAAACCATGCAGCTCTTTTGTTGTTAGGTTATTGAGTAAGATATAATTTATTGGTTTGTTATTAATGATTCTTTTTATTACACGGCAACAAATAGATGTCAAGGATATAAGTCTTTAATTACTTGGGATTTTTTTCAGAGTATTGAATTTCCAGATGATATTAAACAGATGTTGTTGGAGTAAAAAAAATACAGATGATCTGGGAAAAAATTGCACAGATGAGCTTAGACTACTCCACAAATGTTGTTGGACAGATCTGCTTATTTACAATGTAATATAGTAACACAAATCAAACATTGACCTTTTCTCTATCAATTTTTAAAACATCTTCAACAACTTCTTTTTTTCTTGGCTCCTTATCATTAGTTGAACCATTTTCCATACCACTCAATTTTTTCAGTCTTTCTTGTATTCCATCATTGGTTCTTTCAGAAACTCTTCTGGGTGACCTGCTTCGAGAACGATGACGGTCGCTCATTTTTAGCAATTAAATAGTTAAAAAACACAAAATTGAGAAATGTGTAAGCGCCGTGAACGGGTGAGCAATAATAAAAAAATCGTTTTTAAATTTATTAGTCTCGGTACTCGTTCCAAAGAGATATTTTTCCGAGACAAGACCATATTTTTCCGAGACAAGATCTCGTACGAAAGCCAAAATTTTTTCGAAAATGTAAAAACTATGAAAATAAACTTAAATTTTCCGAAAAATTTGCGTTTTTTAATTTTTTTTATTATTATTATATTAATGAACCATTAGTTTTCTATATTTATTTATTTTTTACTTATACGATTCTTAAAAATATTAAAACCGAGATAAAGCGTTAATTTTGAAGATTTATATTACTAAAAAGTAATATAAATCTTCAAAATTAACGCTTTTTATTTTTCACCTATTTCCTTCAAAGAAATACTTGAAAAATAGTTCTTCATGTGAAAATTTATACTGAGGACACTTGTTTCCTCAAAAATGTTTTGACTCTTCTCTCATTAAAAAACGAAAGCTTAAATTTTGAACGTTTTCAATAAATGTCAGTAATCTCAGTTTTTATATTTTCACATTTATTTTCTCGGTATCCGAGACCGAGATTCCAGGATAGAAAAATGACCGTGATAGTCCGAGACCGAGATGTCGAGATCTGAAAGTTTCAGTTATTGGTTCTTTACAAATATTACACTTAGCATGAGTTTTGAACTTAACTTCGTCTTTAATTACTTGATGACTTTCACGAAAATCACAATAACCAAATTTAATAATTGCGGGAAATTTATTAGCCATTTTGACAGTTTAACAAAAGTATGTTTAAAGGAAAAAACTTTTTCTAGATACAACTCGTCGCATTGTTTGACAAGGTTCAAAGTAATTGTTTTTTTATATAAGGAGAATAGCAAATAAAACTTTTTTTTCTTTTTTTTTAATGTCTAAATACAAATTTTTATGGACTGATTTTTTACTTATTTATGCATTCTTAAACATTGATCACAAAAAGAATACATAAACAATTAAAAAAATAATAATATAAATTATTTAAATTAAACATTTTTAAAAAAAATCTAAAAGAGTTTTTCTTAATTCTCCTAACATAAATTTAGAAATTTGTCAAACCAACGCGACGAGCTACCGTTAAGAGCGGGAAATTGCTTTTACTCAATAATCGGTCAGCTTTACGTGAATAAAAATTTTAAAAGTTTTCATCAAATTTTATTCACGTAAAGTTAAGTAATTTACTCAGTAATTACTCAGTTTTACGTTAATAAAAACTTCGACAAAATTGCTAAAGTTTTAATTCACGTTAAGCTGACCAATTACTTAGTAAAAGCAATTGCTTCTTTTGATTCACCCGGCCTATTGAGTTGATATTTTTCGTAAGAGCCAAGAAAGTAAAAGCCAGTAGAGGTCCGAGACCAAGACCAAGACCAAGACTCTAGACTTCGAGACCAAGACTAAGACCAAGACTTTAGGCTTCAAGACCAATACCAAGACCAAGACAGTGAAATATGTGTCTCGAGGCGTCTCGAGACCAAGACTTTGGTCTCGAAACCTACATCTCTGGTAATAAGGAAACCATATTGTTCTCGTCTACGAAAAAAAACTGGCAACTTACAGTCTGTTATTACAACTTCATTCCTTGTCATGGCTATAGCATCGTCAATAGAATTAAAAATAACAATCCATTGGCCATCACGATGGTATGTCAAACTCTCAATTTTATTTATATCGACTTTTTTTAATAATTTTTTCGATTACTTCTTTAGCTCTATTATTGATGTATGCTTGATTGTTACTTTGTTTTAAATCCAGGAACATTGAAAAAGATGTTTACTCCTCCTTTCTAACCGATAATTTCTGAAATTAAAATTACTGCGGCACACGTGTCTGAGGCAAGAGCGCAACAACTGCGCTACACGGCTGCAAATTTTAAAAAAAATTTCATTATATTTCAATATAAAAAAAAAAATTATTTTTACATATAAAATAATAGGCGTTTTAAGTAGGGTTGTTCGCCGAAAAACAAAACTTACGAAAATTTCGCATTTTTATCTTCCGTAATGGAATTGTTATTGCGGAAGTTGCACATGCGAAAATGCACATTCCGTAACGCTCTATACGAAAATATAAATAAATAAAATTCCGTAATAATGCATTACGAAAGAAGACTTGCGAAACAAATCATTTCGTAAGAATACTTACGAAATAGTTCATTACGGAAAGAGCATTCCGGAATGTGCAGTTACGAAAAAGACGCAAAAGATTTTATGTTACGATATATTTAAGATATTAACTGTTAACAGTTTAAATAATAAATAATAAAATTATAAAAAAATGTTGTCAAATGATTCTTCAAATGTTTATACAAATATACCTTTTATATATATATATATATATATATATACATATATATATATATATATATATATATATATATATATATATATATATATATATATATATATATATATATATATATATATATATATATATATATATATATATATAAATTAACGGGATTTTACTGTATATATATGTATATATATATATATATATATATATATATATATATATATATATATATATATATATATATATATTCATATATATATATAAATATATACATATATATACAGTAAAATCCCGTTAAGTTGGACTCTCAATGAACAGATAAACAGTATGCCTTTCTTTTTAAAAAGTATAAAGAGGATGTGTGATAAACAATTAAATACTTTATTATAAAGAACGAGAGATCTCTCTAAAGGTAAATGATATCAGCAAAGAGTAAAAAGAGAAGAAATATATGTGAAACAGCAGGATGTGAACCTGGGTCTACGCGGCCAAATGTCTTAACTGAATGAGCTATACGTTCATTCAACTAAGTGAATAGTAATATTTATTTAATATACAATTAAGAAACTATATAAAACAGAATTTACAGAAAGAGATACAAATGCAAATAGGATTCTATATATCAGGAAAATGAATAGTAATGTGAACCTTTAGATGCTTGTAATTAATATCTGGACTCAAAAACTAGTTACTTTTAATGGAACACATTAGGCTGTAGGAGCCTCAGGGAAATTATATTCAGAAATGGTTATATTAGACTCAGAGTTAGCTAGAAATTATTACAAAATATTTAGGACAGATGTCTAGTACAAAAAGCAAAAGATTTAAAGCAAAATGATTTATATTATTTGAAAAAGTTGTTTTACGTACATTTCATCATAATTTAAGTAGAATTTAGTAAAGCAAGGGAAACGTGTTGAATTAAGCACAATGAACTCAATCTTAAAAGAATAACTAACAGAAGAGAGGTTGTCACTATTGTGAAGGTGACGAAAGATCTGTAATATAGAACATGGAGGTCAAAAAATGCTATCTTAAGTAAAAAGAGTTTGATGAACAAAAGTTACAATGGCTGCGGGATGCGAACCGGGATCTCTGCGGCGAATTATCACGTATCTAACTGATTGAACTATACAATCTTATACTCAAATTTATATCTTATTAAAATTAAAAAACAATATTTTCTAAGATCTATACTTCGAAAAGCGTATTCAAACAGGACTCTACATACCTTTAAAATCTGCTAGAACTTTAGTAACGTGAACACTTTTAGAAATTATTGAAATAGGTATATTTTATCAGAAATATGCTTAAGCTAAAGCATATTTTTGAGCCTCTTTTTACTATTTGCTTAAGCATATTCGAACCTGTTTCAAAAATTTCATATGCTATTAAAAAAAAAATATGTATATTCCTACCCATCATTCTTATTTTTAATATACGTAATGAGTTCAAAAAACATCGTTGTATATATTTATTATGGCACGTTTCGTAAGTTGATTTCCGTTAAGAATTCTTTCGTATGTTGTGATCCGAAATACTTTCGTTTCGAAAGAAATTTTATTTTTTATTAATATTTCTAAAAATAAAACCATAAAAATTTAATAGTTATTATACTGAGTTATAAAAATTCATTATAAACATTTTGGGATTTAAAGATGTTAATTTTTACAATTAAAATCAGTCTGGCAAACAAATTTTCTTTATAGACTTCAAAACGTCGTTTGGCGAAAATGTTTGTTTCGCAAGTGCGACTTCCGAAACCGCTACTTTCGTATGTTGCAAAATAGTTTTGTTTCGTATGTCAACTTGCGAAATGCTAAATTTCGGAAGTGGCTTTTGCGAAATGAACATCGGCGATTTTAAATGTTTTGTAACATTCGGTACGAAAAAATGTAATTCCGCGTTCTCAATCTCCTTACGAAAGAATGTTGTTTTTCCGGAATTGCACGAAATCCTCCGGTTAACAACCCTAGTTTTAAGTATTACATTAAGTATAACGTATAAAATAATATGCGTTTAACACGGCTGTTTCAGAGTGGACATACGGCTTCTTGTTATTTTTTGAAAATAAAAACTTAGGGGGTGTTATTAAAACTTTCATAACTTTTGAAATATTAAATATAAATACGTTCTGTAAAAAGAATATGAACACCGAATAAATGTTTTATATTTTATCATTCAATATAATAATGCAAGGCTGCTCTGATTTTTAAATATCGCAAAATGATGAACTTGGCAGAATTTCGAAATTTTAATGGTACTTTTTAGCAAAAATAATCAGAAAAATTATGTTTCTGTTGACTACTATGTAATATAAACATAGTTAGACCAATTATAAAACATATTAACATTATTTACAGCGAATGCGAACTGATGCAGGCACTATAATAAGCGAAATAAAAAAATCGCAAAATTTTTTTTATTTTTTGTTTTCGGTCGTAGGATAATTTCCTGATACTTAGATCAATATTACAATATTAATACTTTTCTGTAGAAAAATAACACATTTTTTATAAATATACATAACAATATATGCAATTTAAATAATTTGATAACTCGTTTTGATAACTCGTTTTGGTGGATTGACATACAACTTTTTTTAAGTTGATATATTTATATATGTTCTATATGTAGAAAACGATCTTTGCATGCAATTGATACTAGTTTTATTTCCATTCCATATGGAAAATACTCTTCATA